CCGCGCCGCCCCGCAGGCAAGTCTACGCTCATGAACTTGCTCGCCGGCGACCTGACGCCCACGCAGGGCGAGCAGCGGCGCAGCCACAAGCTGCGGGTGGGGCGCTACGCGCAGCACTTTGTGGATGCGCTCAAGATGGATGAGACGCCCGTGGACTACCTGCTGTCCCGCTTCCCAGAGTCGGGTGGGTGGCGGGGGTGCTCTGTGTGCACCAATGTGTGGGGCCGTGGCAGGGGTGGCACGAAGGCAGGCTGTGCGGATCTGGTGTGTGTGTGAGGAAGGGAGGGCTGGTGGCCCGGGGAGTGGCCTGGCACGAGCTGCGCATGGCTGCCTCTCCCTGCCGCCCGCCTGGCCTGGCCCACGGCCACCCCAGGCACCCACCCCAGCTCCCACACCCGCACCCGTGCCCATACCTTTACCCCTGCCCGCCCGCAGGCCTCAAGGCCACCGAGATGCGGGCGATGCTGGGGCGGTTTGGCCTGTCGGGGCACCACCACCTGCAGCCCATTGTGAAGCTGTCGGGTGGCCAAAAGGCGCGCGTGGTGTTCACCGCCATCGCCCTCTCCAACCCCCACATCCTGCTGCTGGACGAGCCCACCAACCACCTGGACATGCAGTCCATCGATGCGCTGGCGGATGCGCTGGAGGAGTTTGAGGGCGGGGTGGTCATCATCTCGCACGACGCGCGCCTGCTGTCGCGCATCTGCGACGATGCGGGTGAGCCTCTGGGCGGTGGGTGGTTGGTGGTGGCGGCGGTGGCGGCTGGGGTGGTGGCGGCCGGGCATGGGAGGCTGTGGCGGCGGCTGGGGTGGTGGTGGCGGCCGGGCATGGGGGGGTGTGGCAGCTGCTGCTGCGTTTGTCTGGCATGGGGTGGCGTCTGAGGGGGCGTACGCTGGGTGGGCCCCGGCCGAACACCTGCCTCGCGGCTCGCGGCGGCGGCGGCATGCTGCTGCTGCCCGCGTCACCTGCACCCGCCGCCGCGTGCCCGCCCGCTGTGCTGCAGAGGCGGCCGAGGTGTGGATTGTGGAGGATGGGGAGGTGCATGCTTGGGATGGTGACTTTGAGGACTACAAGAATGAGCTGATCCGGGAGATTGCTGCGGAGCTGGATGAGCAGGTGGGGCTAGCGTGCTGGTGGGTGGGTGGTGGTGGCCGGCAGCCTTGATAGCGGGGGGGCTCTGGCGGCTCTTGGCTGTGCATCATTGGTGCAGGACAAAAGCTCGGGCCTGCGGCATGCGTGCAAACTGGCTCTCGCTGCTCTCTTGGTTTCCCGTGCGCAGGAAGCGGAGGAGGCGCGGCGGCAAGCCGAGCGCGACGAGAAGCGGCGGCAGCAGGGCAAGAAGTAGCGGGGCGCGGCGGCCCGCGTGCCCGACAATGCGGGCGCTGCGCACCCCCTGCTCCCATCCCTGCATTTCATTCCACTGCCTGCCACGCCCAACTGTGTGCCTGTGTGACTGATGATAGGTGATCATGGATCAGGCAAAGCCAGGCGATGTAAAACGTTGGGTCAATTCCCAGAATCAATCCCCGCCTAGCCTGACTTGCGGGGGCAGACCGCCCACGGTGGCAACCTGTGTGCCCTGGTCAACTGCACGATGGCACAGGTCCCCATAGTGGCTGCCCATGCGATCCCTGGGGTAAGAGGCAGCCTGCAGGAGCTGCAGTGTATGCTGCACCAGGGGCTGTGGTGGCAGTGCACACACTTCCCCCCGTCCAGGCTGTCACGAAGCTACGGAGTACAGGAGCTTCAAAGCGTCATTCTTTCGGTCTTTCATCAGTCACAGGTGCCCCTGGTCGTGTTGCCGCCGCCTTGCAAGGCTCTCCCCCTACTGCTCAGCGCGCCCCCCGCCGCCCTTCCCCCCGGTTTCCGCCCTCTCCAGCGCCAATTCCGCCGTCCGTAGCCTGCCACAGCTCTACATAACGGTCTCCTGGCCAGCAAACTCCCACAGCAGCACAACCCATGTTGGGGAGGACATGGCCCGCCGCCCTGTGCGGTTTGCTAGCCCTCCTGTGCTTGGTGCAGCCAGGTGAGATCATGATCAGCTGCGCCGGTGCCCGTTTCACGCCCACGCCCGCGGCCTCCACCAAAACATTTCCCCCCCCCTGCTGCTCCCGCTTGCAGGCGCTGCTGAGGTGAGCGCGAAGGGTGGGGTGGCGGACCCAAGGGCGGGGTTTCAGCGCTTGTTCGCAAGGCACAGCCGGCGGCACGCACTCCTGACGGCGGGGTGTGCGGCACACAGGCGTCTCCCGCTGCTGCTGCAAACCCCCTCCCCTGCCATGCGCGCGCAACCCACGCTGACGCAGGATGCCAGCATGCACATCTCGTGGGCGCCGTCCCAAAAGTGCGACGACAGCCCCGGCGGCAACTGCGCGCTCTGCAACGAGTTTGCGCTGCAGTGCCTGGTCTGCCTGGGCGGCTACGGCTTCAACTCGCGGGGGCAGTGCCAGAAGGTGCGTGGCTGGCCTGGTTGGGCGGGCGGGTTTGGGGTGTTTGTGGCGTGTTTGGGCAGGCGGCCAGGTGGCGGCCACCAGCCACAGCCGCACACGGGTGCGGTGGTCAGGCTGCAATCAGGCGCCGGCTCTCCTCCAGCACCCCCAGGCCGCCCTTCCAGCCTCTGCAGCCTCGCATCGTGCTCCAGGGGCGGCTGCCGCCACGCCCCCACCCTGCCTGACCGCCGTGCCACGCCCGCTCGGCGCCTGCAGTGCACGGACGCGGGCATTCAGCTGTGCCTGACCTGCGACCTCAAGACCAAGCCCGCCAAGTGCCTCAAGTGCCTGGGCGTGCCCACCCACGACGTGCCCCTCAGCTGGAGCAACCCGGGCTTCCCGGTGTACCAGGCCCCCAACGGCAGATGCAAGCGGGTGCGCGCCGCCCGCCCTCTCGCTCGCCTGGTTACCCCTGCTCGGCCACGGCTCTCGCAATTGGGCCCAGCTGCCACCCCAGCTTCCGGCACCCCCAACCAACGCCGCCGACGACGATGACGACGCACCCCTGCGCCCGCCTCCCCTCCCCCTGCCCCTGCCCCTGCCCCCGCAGTGCGACCGCGTGGATAACATTGGGTGCCTGACGTGCGACCCCACGGGCTCCCGCTGCACCCAGTGCAACGACGGCTTCTACCTCATCGGCGGCACGTGCCGCCGGTGCGAGGGCGAGAACTGCGAGAAGTGCAACCAGCTGGGCAAGTGCACCAAGTGCGTCAGCAGCAAGCGGGGGCCCAGCTACGGGCTGACGGCGGAGAAGAAGTGCAAGCTGGTGGGTGCGGGCGTGTGGGGGGTGGGCTGCGGGGTGGGCTTGGGGCGGGGCTGGCTGGGTGAGGCGGCAGTGGGAGCATGTGCTGCAGTCGTGGTGCTGGCGGCCCCGGCCCGCTGCTGTCCCCAGCCTCCCACCAATTGCCGCTCTCCAGCAGCCAGCCTGGCAGCAGCCAGCCTGAGCGCTGCTGGCCACCACCTCACCTCTGTGCATCGGCCTGGCACCCAGCCTGCCCACCTCGCTCACCCCGGCCCGGCGCCCTCTCCACCCCCCGTGTGCGCGCAGTGCCGCTCCGAGGGCTGCGTGTCGTGCGACGCCGACTGGCGCAAGTGCACCCGCTGCATGGACGGCCTGCCCAGCATCGGCGAGCGCGGCTACGGCCACGACGGCAAGGGCAACTGCCTGCCGGTGAGCGCCGCCGCCCCGCCCATCACCCGCAGCAAGCTGCTGCCACCCTGCTGCCCCCACCCCCATGCTCCCTCCCCTCCCTCCGTGCCGGGCCTCACACCGCCCCGCGGCCCTGCCACCCCGCGCCTGCGCAGTGTGCGAGCCCGCTGTGCGCCAAGTGCCAGCGCGACTACAAGAAGTGTACCGTGTGCACCACCAACCCGTACTCCACGGTGCCAACCTACCTCACCCCCACCGGGCAGTGCAAGAAGGTGAGCTCGCCCAGCGCAGCCAACACCCAGGCAGCGCAGCCGCAGGACCTGCACCCTCCTGCCCTGCCTGCGCTGCACATCCTTGAGCAAGGGCTCTGCCAGAGGCTGAGCCCCCTGCGCTGCACTGCTCTTGAGCAGGGCTGTGTTCCAGCAAGGTTTTGAGCTCCTCCAACACCCCCTCCCTCCCCGCCGCCGTGCCCCGCAGTGCCTCATCCCCGGCTGCATGGCGTGCAGCGCCAGCGGCCAGACGTGCACCCAGTGCCAGGACGGCTATGTGCGCACCGCCGACAAGCTGTGCGCCAAGCTGCCCAAGTGCACTGTGCCCAACTGCTACGACTGCCGCGGCAACCGCGCGGGCTGCAACAAGTGCGCCCCCAAGTACTACATGGCCAAGCCCAACCGGTGCCAGAGGGTGAGCGTGTGGGCCTGTGGGCGGGTGCTGCGCTGGCGGTGCCGCCGTGCGCATGTGGGGCAGCGGCACGGGGAGCTGGCGGCTGCCAATGAGGGCGCCGCTTGCAGCTGGAGCAGCACCACATGCCAGGCCCTGCTTGGGCACACCCCCTGCTTGCTGTGCAGCAGCCATGGCCCCTCCCTCGCCCACCCCGCCCTCCCTCCTCTCACCTCCTCCCCCTGCCCTCCCCCCCTCTCCCCGCCCGCAGTGCATGGAGCGGTGCGAGGTGTGCCACCCCGGCAAGTTCAACTGCAAGAAGTGCGTTCTCAACTACGGCCTGGTCAAGGGCGCCTGCCTCAAGTGCGACACCAAGAACGCAGAGTACTCGTTCTGCGAGGAGTGCAACGGCAACAACAAGCGCTGCACCAAGTGCTGGCCCGCCGACAAGTTCAGGCCAGACCCCAAGACGGGCGGCTGCGTGCGCTACCGCCTGCCAGACACCATCTGGTGAGGCGCTCGAGGCACGGTGGCTGCGGGGCCCAGGCCTGGGAGCGGCTGGCCGGCACGCTCTATCACAGCTCCTCCGGTGCCTCGCCTCGCCTGGCCCATTGAGCGGGCAGCCGCAGCCACGCCATGCAGCAGGCAGTCAAACGGATACCCCTTATCGGGGGGTGCCGTTGTCAAATCATCCCATTTAGATGCTCTATCTGTTGCTTTGCTTTTGGTACAAACCTTGACAAATGTTTGCGGGTCCCATCTCGTTTGCATGTAAACTGATACTTACCCTCAGAGGGCGGTGTTGCAGTCTGTGGCTGCATTTTCATGACCAGCAGCACTTCTGGGCCGCTGCCTGATGCCCTCTTCGGCAAAGCAGACTGCCGCCGCCTACGTGGCCGCCACCTGGCCACCTAGCTAGACGGCAGGCCGCTTTCTGAAACCGCGATCCCTCGCTCCCCCACGCATCCACTTCGGCTTTCTCGACACAGCAGAGAGCTCTCGGTCCACTTCGCTTGCCCTGCGCATGAGCAGCCAGGAGGAGCTAGTAGAGCTGCTCATAGACGGCGCCCGTTATGGGGAAGCCGATGAGGTGCATAAAGCTATAGACGCGAAGGTGGACGTGAATGCACAGGATGAATGGGGCAAGACAGGTGCGCGGAGCGTGTGTCCGTAGCACAGATGGCACCGGGAGCGGCAGCAGGTGCCGTCCACGTTGCATGCAGGCGCATGCCTAAGCCATGGTGGCGGCGCCGCTGCCGCCAGTGCCGCCCTGCAGCAGGCTGGTGCTGCCAGCTGACCCGGGGAGCCCCACCTTGCCCCCAATCTTGCAGCACTACACATGGCAGCGGCCAATGGCCACGCGGAGATAGTGAAGGTCCTGCTGGACAGCGGCGCGGTGGGTGTGCCGTCTTTCTTGGGCTGCTGCCCACTGCTTGCAGCGCCTGCCTCACCACGCCTGCGGCTCTCTTTAACCTGCGGCTGGCTGGCGGCTGCTGCAGAGCGTGGGCCTGGCCAATGACTCTGGCAACACGGCGCTGCACTGGGCGTGCCTGATGGGCCACGAGGATGTGGCGCGGCTGCTGCTGGAGGCGGGGGCCAACGCAAGCGCCCTCAACAAGTGCGCACACCGCTCCTGTCGCGGGGATGGGCGCAGCACTTGGTACCTGCTTCGCCATGCCTCGATCCATGCAGCTGCAGCTGCCCCCTCCAATTACCGCTGCGCCCGGTGCCGCACCATCCGACCCGCAGGATGGAGCAGACGCCCGTGGATGAGGCGCTGGGCCGCGGCCACCAGCACCTGGTGCAGCTCATCAACACCTTCTCGGCACCTGCCAAGGAGGTGGATGAGGCCGACGATGTGCCGGACAATGCAGAGGATGCGGGGGAGGCAGACATGGAGCTGGAGGGCAGCAGGAGCATCGAGCCGCAGCAGCAGCCCCGGGGCGAGTAGCTCCAGCTCCAGCTCACCTGGTCCAGCCGCAGCTCGCCCCACGATCCTTGTGTCCTTCCTTGATCACCCAGCACTGACCTTGACCCCTAGGCCTCTCTGACTTGTTTGTTTTCCCTGGCACTGACACTCCGCTTCCACCACCCTGACCCAATGCCGCCTCCCACTCCCCAGCTTGTTTGGTGAATCAGGCAGTTACATGTGTCGCGCAGTCATGTTGCAGCGTTCAAGGCAGGCCACTGCAGCGGTGTGGGCTGGGCCCTGCTGCTGTCCCTTGCAAGCATGTCCGCTACTGTCTGCCGCCGCTGACGCTGCTGCGCTGTCCTCTGCGTCTGCCGCGAGTGGCAGGTACCACTCGGGCCCAAAGCCCGCCTGCGCTCGCGCCGCATCGTTGAATGGCGGCTTGAGGGGTCCCCTGAAGTGACACAGGCAAGGGAGGCAGGCGCAGGAGGCATAGGTTGACATCAGCGCATTCACCCAGACCGCCCTCCTACTCATATGTGTGTGCCTCCCATCAACCTGAAGTGGCGGCGGATGAGCGAGTGGAACCACAGCTCCACAGAGGGAAACCGCCGCGCCTCTACCGCCCACTCGGGGATCGCCGACGCCGCCTGCTGCTCCTCTCGCGCCTGCCCGCTGCCTGCCTGCTGCTGCTGGGAGCCCGCTGCCTGCTGCTGCTGCGCCTGCTGCTGCTCCCAGTCGTGATCGTGTGCCAGTCTGTGCAGGTGCTTCAGCCAGCGCACTCCCGCGGCGCAGTGGCTGATTTCCTCTGCATAAATGACGTTCTGCGGGCACCAACAGCCAGCCAGATGGTTTCGGCATTGCTGGCAGGCTGGGCAGGAGCAGCAAGGCACCAAAGCCGCTGCCTGCCCCCTGTCACACCACCCCCTGCTACACTGACTGCCACCCCGCACCGCACCTGTAGCAGGTCTGCGCTGGCGGCGTCCCCGTTGGACCGGAACCGGTGTATCGTCTGCGGCAGCACATCCAGCCCCCGCGCCTCGTGCGTGCAGTGCTCCACCGCCAGTCGCGCCGCCAGGCTGCCTGCCGTGGCCGCTGCAGACTCCCACAGCCCGTCGTGGGCCGCCATGGCACCGTAGTGCGAGCCCGTGGCCTCCAGCCGCTGCTCCAGCAGCCGGAAGTGCCGGCACTCGTCCGCCGCTACCTGCGCTCGGCACACGGGCGGGCATGCGTCAGTGGTGTGTGCGTGTGCGCTGCAGGCTTCCACAGAGTGTCGCCTCCAGCCACCCAGCACACATCGGCATGCGGTGAGAGGCGTCCTGACACCCTTTCTCACCGCGATGAAATCTGAGTAGAACTGCCTGGGCAGCTGGTAGCCTGCGCCCGCCACGTCAGCGGCCCCAAACCGCGCCAGGCAGTCCCAGGCCAGGTCCACGGCGCTGCTCTCTATGTGCACCAGGGCGTGCAGCATGGCCTGCCGCGATGCCAGGCTGCCGCCCTTGCCTCGCTTGGGCACATCCCTGGCCGCCACAAGCTGCACCTTGCCGCTCTCCCGCGCGGGCCGGTCGGGGACCGTGTATGCCGTGCCGGGCGGCGGCATCGTGATGCTGCCGTCGTCCCACAGGCGCACAATCGCCTCGGTGCGGGCCGCCTTGTCGTGGGGGTCTGGCGTGCACAGCACCTGCACAGCGGTCGCTTCAGAAGGGTGGCGTCAAGAGGCGGCGGCAGAAGAGTGCGGCGCGGGCGTGGCGTCAAGCGGCGGTGGCAGCGGGTTGCGGCGCCACGGGACGGAGATGAGCTTATATCTCGACCTGGCAGCATGTCTGGGTGTCTCACGACTCCCAAGAGCAGCACATGCGGTGGCGGCAATCACCTTGAGTGCGGCAGAAATGATGTCGTCCCCTGCCTGTGGATCCATTTCCATGATATACGCTGCCGAAATCACCGGCAAAACAGCGAGAAAGGGCAGCACAGGCTCGGGTTTCAGGCTGCCTTTCCTGGGGTTTCTTTTTGGGCCTGCGCGCTTTTCTGGCCTCCCCCAGCAGCCGCCCTGCATTCTCTGCGTACCTGGGACAGATCACCTACATTCCTGCTACGTTTCCACGCCAGAAGACCAGCCACGGAGATATGCTTTCTGTCAGGGCGGCCAGCAGCCTGCTGGCGAGCACCAGCGGTTCGGTGGTGCCCGATTTCGCAAAGCTAGCCACCGTCGTGGCCTCCAGGGCCTATCACAAGAACGTGAGTAGTAGGTTCCTTTTGGCGGGCAGCGCGGCGACGGGGGGAGCCTCCGGCGCCGCCCAGCGACGTTTCTGGGTCGGCACGGGCGTCGGGCGGCAAGCAGCGGCCCGGGACCGGCTGGGGCAGCCGGGACTCCAGCAGGGGGGCGGCAGCGGCGACGGCACCCCCGCCCTGGAAACAGCTCAGCGTCACTCTCCCGCCCCCCTCGCCTGCCCTTCACCCTGCAGGTGGTGGACCACTACGAGAAGCCGCGCAACGTGGGCAGCTTTGACAAGACCGATCCCAACGTGGGCACGGGGCTGGTGGGCGCGCCCGCGTGCGGCGACGTAATGAAGCTCCAGATCAAGGTGGACGAGCACGGCAACATCGTGGACAGCTGCTTCAAGACCTTTGGCTGCGGCTCCGCCATTGCCAGCAGCAGCGTGGCCACCGAGTGGTGAGCAGGGCTGGGCAGCGCCAGCAATCCCGCCGCCACACGCCCCGTCCCCGCTTGCCATCGGCACCTCATCGTCAGCCGCGTGTGCGGACGACCCCACCACACATCCCCGTAGTCATCCCTCACCGTTCTCCTTCCCCTCCCGCTCCACGTGTGTGCAGGATCAAGGGCAAGGCGGTGGAGGACGTGCTGACCATCAAGAACAGCGACATCGCCAAGCACCTCAGCCTGCCGCCCGTCAAGCTGCACTGCAGCATGCTGGCAGAGGACGCCATCAAGGCGGCGGTCAAGGACTGGAAGCAGAAGCGCAGCAACGCGGAGGGCGGCGCCCAGCAGCAGCAGCAGCAGGCGGCCAGCGCCTGAGGCGGCCGCATGAGCTGATCCGCTGGGGCTGAGACTGGCACGAGCGGCGTCGGCCTGGCGATGGGAGCCTGCCTTGGTTTGGGCGCATGGAACATGTGCCGACCTCGCTGGGCACCCCTGTCCAGCCCGCCCCTTGACTTCCCAGCCCGGTTTTGCGATGCACCTCCTCTTTTGAACAACGCATGCCATGGTGAGCGATGCGCCGTCCCCGCGCTCTCGCCCTCGGAACGTATGTCCCTTCAACTGCTCCCCCCTTGCGCTTCCTTTTCCCTATTTTTTCCGCTGTCAATTACCGCTACTCGACTGTACCAACCCTCAGCGACCCAGCATACTCCTTTTCAGTGCACTAATTCAGTTGCATCCTTGTAAACCAAGAACACAAAAGCTGGCATGCCGAGCGGATGGGCGCCTCCTGTTGGAACCCGGATTCTCTGGCGCTCTGTTGGAACCAGCTGCTGGCCCTCAGAGGCATCCCAAGCTAGAGCATCGGTTTACACACTTGAAGTGGTACAAAACTGCACACCCACAAATGCAGGCGTGCACGCACAGGGCCAGCTCTGGCGTCTGACGCTGCCACCCGTTAGGCTTCAGGTGTGTAGTATCAGTCTGGTGCGGGGGCCGCACAATCAGCTCAAAAGAATAGTGAGTAGTAGGAGCCATGAAATGGGGCGGGTCGTCTTCTCTGAAGAGGAGTTTTGGGGAGAGAGAAAAACGAGGCTGGCGGGAAAATGTGTCACTTGGGGCAAAATGCTGCGTGAACTGGTGAGCCCCTGGGGAAAGAGCTGAGCCTGTGAAAGAATGGCTGCCGGCCCTGGAGGAAGGGCAAGGTAGGGAGAGGTGGGGGGTAACCACTGGGCAGCGGCATAGGTAAGAATGAGAGGCAGGGGAGCGTTGCAGAGACCAGGGCTGGCCCGCACGCTGGGGTGTGGGCAAAATCCAAGGGCCAGCGAAGCACCCCGCAATCAATCAATCAATGGGGAGTGGGGCGGCGGATCAGGACAGGCGCTCTTGAGAGCAGCACAATACATGGAAGACAGGGAATACACGCAAGTGCAAAAAGAAAGAATGTAAACCGGCTGCAGCTGCTGTGAGGAGTGCGCATATGGCGGAGACTCATGCTGCCTGCCAGGGCAGGCAGGGCTCCGTTGGAATGGCCGGGGTTGGCACCTCCACCTCCACTGCTGGCAGCACGGGCACGTCCAGCGCCTGCTGCAACTGCGGGGCCTCCCCTGCCTCTGCAGCTTGCAGGGCAGGCTGCTGGCTGGGCGCCTGCTCCTCAGCCTGCGCCGCAGGGGCCCTGGCCGCTGCCGCGCTGCTGCTCTGCACCGCACTCCCGGCGGCGGCAGCGGTTGCCGCTGTGACGCCGCCGCTGCTGCTGCTGCTGCTGCTGCTGCTGCGCGGGCTGCGAGAGGCCCTGGCCGCCGCCGCTGCCGCGTCGGCGGCGGCCTTGGTCGCCTGCGCCTTCTGCTGGCGGTACTCCAGCGCCGCCGCCATCGCCATGCGCACCCTGGGAGGCGCCTGCGACCCCGTCACCCGCGCAGCAAGCGGGTGCTCCTCTGCCGCGGCCGCGGCGGCAGGGCCTGCCGCCGCCGACGGCCCTCCGACGGCGCCCGCGGGCCGCGCCGCCTGCTTGGCCTGCAGCTTGTAGTCCATGACGGCAGCAAAGCGGGAGGCCAGGGCGCTGCGCTCGTTTGTGTTGAGCCCGTTGGCGTTCATGGGGCCCATGCCGGCCGCAGAGGGCATCCCCTGCGAGGGCGCGCCGCCGTTGCTGCTGCGCACAGACTCGGGGTCTGCAGGCAGGCGCGGGGGGCGGCCAGGAGAGGAGAGGGGCGCGGCGTCAGGTGCTGAGGGGGAGGGAGGGCACGCTGGCGGGAGATGCGTGTTCCAAGCAGCGCAGAGCATTTGGGGCGGGCTGCCTCCATCATTGATGTTTTTGGGATCCACTGCCCACCATTCCCACCTGGGATCGCCTCCTGCAGCTTGCCCCGCAGTACCGACGTGTCGCTGAACAGGCGGTCCCGCAGCACCACGTACTGCTTGAACTTGTCAATCAGCCAGGGGATGCCTGCAACCGCAGCGGCGGCGCCGCCAGGGGCCCGACACGTCAGCACACGCGCGGCAGGGAGGGCAGGGCGCAGCGGCCGGCGGCCGGCCAGCCAGCGAGCAGCGCCGCGGCAAGACCAGGTCCTAGCGCGCCAGGCGGGCGGCAGCCCCGCACCTGTGCGCTGCACGTCCACCAGGTTTGGCTTGCGGTTGTTCTTCTCCCTAAAGGCGGCCGTCCAGGTGGACAGCTCTTCCTGCGGCACAGCGCAGGCGGCGGCAGGTGGAAGGCGCGGTGCGTGAGCGGAGCGCCGCGGCAAGTGCGCAGGGAGCGCAGGGAGCAATGCATGCCAGGCGCTGCCGGCAGGCCAGGCTGGGCCGGGCCGGGAGAGAAGGCCTGGCCAACGCGCTCCCCGGCCACCCAGCCCCAGCGCAGCGCCTGCAACAGCGCCTCCCACCTGCAGGGTGCGGTACTCCCGCAGCTCGGCCTTGAATGTGTTGAGGATCTGGGTGCGGCTCAGCCGCTTGCCGCTGCCGTCAGACAGGCCTGTGAGGCCCATGCTGTAGGCAGCGGCACGCACGGCGCCCATCCTGCGCCCCGCGCCCGCGGCCGCGCCCGCCGCGCTGCCGCCGCTCATGGCCGCGCCGCTGCCGGCGGGGGGGCTGCCTGCGGGGGCCATGGCGCCGGCGCCGCCGCCGGGCGAGCGGGGCCCCGAGGAGGCCGGCGCCGGCGCCGGCGGCACGGGCCCCGACCCCGCTGCTGGCGTGCCGCCGCCAGGCGCGGCGGAGGCTGCTGAGTAGACGGCCTCCACGGCGCGCAGGACACGGGTGGCCGCGTGCCGCCGCCGCGCCATGGCCGCCAGCTTGGAGCGGTGCTCTGGCGACTTGGGCTGGCCGCGGAAGCGGTCGCCCACCGCCGCCCTGGCGTCCTCGCCCATGCTGCGCCCCATGGCCGCCTGCGACATGCGCTTGCGCGTGGCCAGCGGCTGCCGCCGCCCCAGCTTGGCCTCGCTCATCTTGCGCACCGTGTCGGCGTCGTGCGCCTGCCCCGCATTCCACGCCTGCTTGCCCTGCACCGCCGGGCGCCAGGGGGAGGGCGGCAGGAGCAGCGCAGCAGTGAGGCAGCCGCCAGCGCGCTGCGGCAGCCTGGGGAGCGGGCCATGCAATCGCTGGCCAGCCGCAGGCCTCGTGCTCTGGGGCGGCAAGCTTGCCACGTCGGCGCGCAGCGTGCACAGCGTGGGCGGCGTGCCACCCACCGTCAGGCTCTCCGACACGCTGCGCTTGAACTCAGGGTCCTTCCACTTCTGAGTCAGCTTCATGCTGATGCGCTTGCGGTGCGTCTCCGAGTGCGGCACGCCCTTGTTCCAGGCCGGGATGCCGGGAGGGCGCCCCGGGCCACGCCGCGGCGGCGCCGCGCCGGCCGCCGCGTCGGGCTGCTGCAGCGGAGGGGGATGGGGCCGAGGATGCGTGAACGAATGCACACCAGCCTGGCACAGCAACGCCAGCCACCAGGCGCAGAGCATGCAGCCGCGGTTGCTGCTCCTGCGGCCGCACGGGCCGGGGCGGTGGCTGCCGCCGCACCTGCTGCGCCTTCGTCACATCTCCTGCACTCGCCCGGCTGGGCTCACCAGCTGCTAGTAAACCTACACACCAGCAGGGCGGCCGCGTTCATCAAGGGCGGCGGGGCGGCTCAGCAAGCCCTGCCCCCATGCTCGTGGGCCTCTACCGTGCACCTCCTCCCCACCTTGCTCACCTGCTTCGTGGCCGTGTGAGCCACCAGTGGCGCGGCAGGCAGCCCTGAATGCCCGCCTCTGCCCGCCCAGCCCAGCAGGGGGCACCCGGAAGGCACAGCTCGTGGACGCCGTTGCTGACAGCGTCACTCCGACCCGCATTGTGCTGTTTCCTACTGCTGCATGCTCCAAGAGGCTAGCGGTTGCAGTTGTGAGCAGGCTGAGAATGTTCCGGCTGCAGGCCCTTGCGATAGCCCTCTCTTCCTGCGACTCGCCGAGACTGGATCGAGAGTGTCAGAAGAGGGCAAGAAGCGACGGCAAACAAGCCACCATGCACCGCCGCGCGCGCTGATGCATGCCCGCCACAGTGGCAGCGTGCGCCAGCCTCCTTGTGTGCTGCTCCCTGGTCTGCTGCTGAGTGTATGCTTGCTTGCTGGTTTCAAGACCAACGTAAAATCTATGTGAGTGATACAGGAAAGCCTTCCCTATCCCCGCCCGCCCCATCGCGGCGGAGAACCCTAGCGGCGCCTTAGCGGCGCCCTGCTGGCGTGGTAGGCGCTGCCCCGCTCTGCGCAAACGCGGCATCCATCCAGGCCAGGTGCTTGCTCAGCCAGTCCTGCAGGTTGGCCACCTCTGCATTAAAGCAGGAGGAGAAGGCAGAGTAGCAAGACGCCGGTTGGCGTCGGCTGCCTGTCAGCGGAGCGAGTGGTGGCAGATGCCAGGCCGACCGACCGCCCCAGCAGTCGACCCCCCGCCAGCCAGGGCAGCATTAGCAAGGCACTCCGCCCCACCTGTGGTCCACTCCTGCTCGGCGCTGGAGTACCACGGCTTCAGCAGCACCGCCGCATAGCGATCAAAGTTGCGCAGCACGGCGGGACGGATCAGTGCGCTGACGTCAGCGACCATCTGTGTGATGACCGCATCAGACCAGGGCCCCGAGCGCAGCGCAGCCCAGCGGGCACGGGCGCCGAAGCTGAACCGTGGGTCCTGCCACATGCGCCTGCGCAGGCAGGAAGGGGGCCAGCGCATGGCAGAGTGAATAACCGCTGGCTATGCGTGGCACCAGACCCACCCATAGCACACCAATACTGCCTGGCAGCAGCAACGCAGGCGGCGGCTTGGTGTCTCGCCTGTACCAGCGGCTGAGGCCGTCTGTGGGGTTCACCCGGCAGCGCTCCGGGTCGGCGCAGATCATGAAGCGCCAGCCCTCGGGCGAGATGGCCGAGCCGCCTGCCTGGCCTGCACGGCTGGCCGTGGGGATCGTCACAGCAGGCCAGCCTTGTGGTGCCTGGTGCAGCCAGATTCGAGCACTTGATGCCCATGCATACATGCATGCATGCATGCAGCCAGCGCTGAGCCATCGCGTGCGCGCCTGGGCCGCTGACGCCCTGCTTGTCCCAGCCCTCGATGGGATACCCGCAGCACAGGCCAAAGGCCTCGTTCAGGTCCCAGATGGGGCCCGCAGCCAGTGGCTGGTCTCGGTCCTTGTGAAGGTACACAGAGCCGCTGCAGCAGGGAGGGCAGGGCAGGGCGGCAGGGCCCGTGGAGGTGCGGGAGCAGCCCAGGCGGGATGCGCTTGCATGCATGCAGGGGCGTCCGCACGCACCGGTAGCCGTCTGGGTTCTTGGTCAGCTCGGTCAGCAGGAAGTAGTCGAGCCAGGAGGGCCCGTCGATGAAGGTGGTGTAGCTGGGGGAGCGGCTGCACCCAGGAGGCAGCAGGCAGGCTGCGTCTGACGCCAGGGCAGGCACATGCCAGCGCTGCCAACGCTGCCCCAAGGGCACGGGGCTACCAGCCGCTGGCCTCGCAGCCTGCAGGCGGCCGCCCACGACCCACATGAGCCAGTCGGGCGCCTCCAGCGCATCCTGGAAGGCCTGCAGGTAGCCGGTCAGCCAGGCCAGCGCCTCGGGGCCCGCCTTCTTGGGGTCCCTGCACCGCAAGGCGGCGCCCTCGTCGGCTGCCGCACAGGCGCTCACTGCCATCGCATGGGGAGCCATGCAACCGCCTGCCTCCCCGGCCCGGCAGCCCCGGGCAACACAGCTGCTGAGGCCGTGCTTGCTCGCCGCTCACTTCATCTGAAACGGGTGCTGCCAGCCCTGCAGCGGCCCAAACGTCACGTCCCCCTCCTCCAGGTTGTCGTTGTCGTACGAGAACAGGTAGCCGCCGCTCAGGTTGGGGGGCTCCAGCGGCGCCACCGCCACGCGCTGCGGCGCCACCTTCAGCTTCTCCAGGCCGATGTAGATGCCGTGGTAGTGGGCGGGGGACAGGGCGGGGGCGCCGTCGTCCACCAGGAACACCTCGCACCACACGGTACGCGGGGCGTACTGCCCAGAGGCGCGCCCCAGGCTGCGGGGGGCAGCAACACGCCAGTGCAGGGCAGGTAAGCAGTGAGCTGTGCACTGGCCAGCAGAGGCGGGTTGGGCGGGAGGTGCGGCCATGCCAGATCCCGGCTCACTTGTATGCCAGCCAGTTCCTCATGCCCTGGGTCAGGTCCACCTCATCGCCGCCATACCTGCAGCCAGCAGCCCCTGGCACAGTTGGGCACCCAGCTGGGTGGAAGGCACGGCCTGTGCGAGCAGGGAGGCTGGCCCCTGCGTCCCGGTCAGCACCAGGCGCAGCAGCTGCAAGGCTCACAGCACCCAGTCGCTGTCTGCGGGCATGCCCAGGAAGGGAAACTCGTTCTTCTGGGTGCCCGTCGCGTTCTTCTTGCCCCCCTCCTTGAGCAGCTTCACATCAAAGCTCTTCTTGGTGGCGCTGGCGCTGGCTGCACAGGGGGGCGGGCCCACGGAGCTGAGCGCATCAGGCTCAGGCCGCCCAGTCAGTCTGGCCAGTGCATCGCCTGCAACAAACACTCACTTGAGCCCCGCACTTCTGCTTCCGCCAGGCCGGCATAGTCTTCAAACGGCTGGCCTGCACTGGGTTACTTCAGGGATGAGTACCAGGGAGTGAAGGCTTCTGAGCGCTGGCTCGGCGAGCGCGGCTGCAAACCTGGCGAGCAGGTGCAGAGCTGGAGCGGCACATCCACATTCTTCTGCTCCAGTTTCTTCCCCGCCGTGTCCAGCACTACAATGGGCAGGTTGCTGGAGAAGCCAATGGCCGCAAGCTGCTGGCAGCAGGAGCCTGTGGCGGGCGCGGCTGCCTCGGACGCTGGCGGTGGCAGGGGCGCCACCGCCGGCACAAGGGCCTGCAGCAGCAGCCGCTTGGGGCCGCCTGCCGCGGTGCAGGGCGTCGCCAGCAGGCAGGCAATGGCCAGGCACGCCGCTGCCATGGTGAGCCTCATGGGTTGTGATGCTGTGGCCAGAAACCCCTGCAGTCGAGACCACGTCTGCTCACCACAGCCTCACAGTGCTGAGGAGGCAGCGATCAAGCAAAGCAGCGAAGGGCGTCCTCCCGCACGCGCGAAGCATCGCCCATTTCTTCTCGGATTGCCCGCGCGTTCTGCCTACTGCCACCCACCATGCATCCTCCGATTGCCCTTCTTTCTGTCTTCTCCAATCCTCATTGATCGGTGGGCTGCTGCCACAAGCTGTGGATCGCGCCAAAGAGGCGGTGCTGGTCAACCCTTGCGACACCTCCGGCTGGTGGCTCTTAGCATCCTCCATTTCGCCTGCACATTGATCCAGCGCATCCAAAGGCATAGATGGACGAGGCGGAGCGCCGGCCGCCGGCCGAGGCGGTGCAAGTGACCGACGACGGCCTGCTGCACAAGCTCACACTGCAGGAGGGGACGGGGGAGGTGCCTCCCAAGCACGCACGGTGCCTGGGTGAGAGGCAATGCGCGGGCTGGCGATGGCGCGGGGCTGTGGTGGCCCGCCGCCTTGCCGCCACTGCCGCCGCTCGTGACCGCTGGGTGCCCCGCTCCCCTCGCCTTCCCGCGCCTGCCTGCTCGCAGTGCACTATGTGGGGCGGATAGCGGAGACGGGGGAGGTGTTCATGAACACGCGGGAGGAGAGCCACAACCAGGAGCCAGAGCTGCTGGTGGCAGGGCGGGGTGAGTGGCACCTCTGCGGTCGGCGGTTCAGGAAGGGTGCACGCTGCGATTGCTCTGCTGCTCTGACTGCCTGCATGGGTCATCATGTTACCGCCGCTGCGTACCCACCGGCTACGTGCAGACACGGCATACCAGGAATCGGGGCTGCACCTGGTGGTGGCCACGATGCGGTGCGGCGAGACGTGCCGCGTGTGGGCGGCACCCAAGTACGGCTACGGAGAGAAGGGCAGCTTCTCCTTCCCCACCGTCCCGCCAAATGCGGACCTCATGTGAGTGGTTGTTTGCTTACCCAGCAGGCTGGCGGGGTGGGGCAGATTACCCATCAGGCTGGTGGAGTGAGGCAAATGGCCAGGGTGTCGGCTGCTGCCCTCGCTCCCGGTGCTCCCGCTTATGCGCGGTCCTGCCCTCCCGCCTCGTCTCACCTGCCCCCATCCCATTTGTTGGTGTGCTCCACCCCTCACTTCTGCTGCCGTTTGCGCTGCCCCTGGCTGCAGCTACGAGCTGGAGCTGCTGCAGTGTGAGCCCGCGGACGAGGGCAAGGAGCTGGGGAGCATGACGTTTGAGGAGCGCATGGAGGCGGCGGAGCGGCGGCGCCAGGACGGCAACGCGCTGTTCCGCGAGGAGCGGTTTGAGGAGGCGCTCGGCAAGTACAGGTGCGTAGGGGGCGCGTGCTTGCGCCTGCTCCACCCTGCCTGCTCTCTTGCCTGCTACCCACTGCCGTGCTTGCCTGCCGCGGTGATCAGCCTGTCCTCAACCAGCGCTGAGCCCCACGCCCCCTCCCCCCTGCCGCCGCCACCGCCAGGCTGTCGCTGTCCTACCTGAGCGAGGACCTGCTGATGCAGCTGGGCGACTTCCACCTGCAGCTGGCCATGGGCCTCAAGCGCCCCGTGCTGCTCAACATCGCCGCCTGCCAGCTGCGCCAGCAGGACTACCACGGCGCGGTGGCCACGTGCGGCGAGGTGCTGCAGGAGGACCCGCAGAACGCTAAGGCGCTGTTCCGGCGCGGCAAGGCGCGGCGCACGCTGGGGCAGAGCGAGGCGGCGCTGAGGGACCTGGAGGCAGCACGGGCGGCGGCGCCGGGCGACGCTGCCGTGGCAAAAGAGCTGGCGACTGTGCGCAGGGACCTGCAGCAGGAGCGCACGGCGTCCAGCCAGGTGTTCAAGGGCTATTTTGACAAGGCAAAGGCCGCGGGGGATGTGCTGTACGACGAGCCGCCGCCGCCAGTCACGCCCGAGGCGTCGGCGTCGGTGGAGGCGGCGTCCTTTCTCCAGCGGCACAAGCTGGTGGCGCCGTTGCAGGGCCGCCGCGTGCTGCGCACTGCTGCCATTGTCGCGGTGCTGGCGATAGCCACGTACTGGTGCTGGGTTGCGGTGTCTGGCGCGCCCCCCATCTTGTCCTGAGCCGTACGCTGCTCTCTCACTATTCTTCTCAACCATCCATCTGCGCATGTCACTACGTTTTTGCCACCAACCACCCATCATCCCCTCAGTTGAGCGCCGCCGCCGCCACCTGTCAACAGCAGGTGGACAAAGTGTGCAGTGTCCTGCAGTCTCCATCTGCGCTCGGGGGCTGCATTTACAGGTTCGCTGAGCCCAATTGGCCTGAAACACATTCAGATTGGGTAAACATGCTGGGGGTGCTGTGCTCGATCTGAAGGCCCCTCAAATGCACGTCCCGCCAGCCGCATCGGGCACACTGTGCGCAATGGCGATGCGCAGGGGTGGTCGTCTGCTTGGCCTGTTGGCCAAGCGGCTCACTGCCGAGAGCGGGGCCCTGACCACCGAGGCGGCCGGCGCGCAGGCTCCCCGCTATTTCTCGGCATCCGCCCTGCGCAATCCCGCCATTGCAGGTGCGCCAGCTGGTTGATCGCAGCCCCACCAAGTGGTAGTGTCGACAGCGGGGCGTGCATTGGGACGCCCCACCCAGGCCCGCGTCACTGGCAGCCTGCCAGCATCAAGGACAGCGCGCGGGGACTCCAACGCGCCACCTCGGACCCGCTGCCACTGGCGCCGCCGCCGGCCTGCCGCCACCTGCCGCCTTGCGACCATAGTAGGGTGCTGCCTGCCCTTGCGTGCCTGCAGGCACCTATCTGGCTGGACTGCCCAGCCATGGCATCCAGGGCCTGGCCCGCTGCGGCAGCGCACGCCCCATCTCCGTGCAGGCGCTGAAGCCCAGCGACCGGTGAGCTGAGGCGGCGCACCGAGCGCGGCCTCCTCCAGGCCTGGTAGCCGCAGCCCAGGCCGGACAGTCTGACCGGCAGCGGCGGGCCAACACCCGTCCCCACGCTAGGCAGCGCCCTGCCAACCGCGTTCTGGCCCGGCCAAGCAGCGCACGCGGCCGAGCCACTGGCGCCGGGCCGTGCCGCTGTGGTCAGCCGTGCCGTGCCAACCGCCAGCCCGCCTGGCTGCCGAGCTGCCGCCGCGCCCTGCCCCTCCCTCTCCCCCGCCCTCCCTGCCGCCGCGCAGCTTCGAGCCGCGCCACAACAGCATCAGCGAGGCGGAGAAGCAGAGCATGGCGCAGCTGTGCGGCTTCCCCAGCCTGGACGCGCTGGTGGAAGCCACCGTGCCCGACGCCATCAAGCGCACAGACGGCATGCCCCTGGGTCCCAAGTACCACGAGGGGCTCACAGAGTCGGAGTTCCTGGCCATGTTCAAGGAAATGGCGAGCAAGAACAAGGTAGGCGGAGGGGGGCGGGTGGTGGGCTGCGGCTGTGGGTGCTGGGCTGGGGCTGCGGCTGTGGTGGCGGCGCCGCGGGCCGTGCCGGCCGGCCGGATGCACGGCAGCCGTCGCCGGCAGCGCGGGCGGCGGCACGCCCGCTCCACGCCTCGTCGACCTGCCCCCGCGCTGCCCTATGCTGCCCCTACTCGCCCTTCCTGCCGCCAGGTGTTCAAGAGCTACATCGGCATGGGGTACTACAACACGCACGTGCCCCCCGTCATCCTGCGCAACCTGCTGGAGAACCCGGGCTGGTACACGCAGTACACGCCCTACCAGGCGGAGATCAGCCAGGGCCGGTGAGCGGGGTGGCAGGGCGCGGGCAGGGGGAGAGCTGGAGCAGGGGAGTGGCGTGGCACGCGGCAGAGCACCTCGGCCCGGCGAGACACTACACCACCTTGCCTCCGCCCCACCCTGCCCCCCACCCCTTGCCTCCTTCCCTCCCTCCCTCCTCGCCTCCCCCCTCCAGCCTGGAGTCCCTGCTCAACTTCCAGACCATGGTGTCGGACCTGACGGGTATGGCCATGTCTAATGCCAGCCTGCTGGATGAGGCCACCGCGGCGGCAGAGGCGATGACCATGTGCTCGGCGGTGGCGCGCGGCAAGAAGCCCAAGTTCCTGGTCTCGGACAAGTGCCACCCGCAGACCATCGCCGTCTGCCAGACCCGCGCAGACGGGCTGGGCCTCAAGGTGCGCGGCGGCGGCGGGCCGCGCTTGCGTGGCGCGTGGTTGAGGAGCCGCGGCGGGCGGGGAAGGTGGCAGCCCGGCAGCAGAGCTGCGCACCACCACCACCACCACTTGTTTAGCACAGCAGGGGCCGGGTGTGCGAGCTGCAGGCCTGCCGGCTGTGCTGGTGGTGGCTCGTGCCGCCGCCATTGGCACCGCCCACGTGCTGTACTGCGCCGCCGCTCTGCCCTCACCCGCAGGTGGTGGTCCAGGACGAGGCCAGCTTCTCCATGGATTCCGACGTGTGCGGCATCCTGCTGCAGTACCCCGCCACAGACGGCAGCGTGCACAACTACAAGGTAGCTTCCGCCGCGCTGCGCTGCGCTGCTGCCTTGTCGTTTCGCCCGCCCCGCCCGCTGCGCCAGCTGGCTGGCTCGCTGCGCGGCAGCTGCCGCTGCGCCTGCTTGCCGGCATGTGGGCTGAGGCGCTTGGGTTGGGGCTGCGCGCGGCGTGCGATGCCCTCCGTCGCCTGGTGCAGGGCATTGCCGAGAAGGCGGCGGCGGCCAAGGTGAAGGTGGTGGTTGCCTCTGACCTGCTGGCGCTGACCAAGCTGACGCCGCCTGGCGAGTGGGGCGCCGACATTGTGATCGGCTCCGCGCAGGTGCGGGGGCGAGCCGCGCTCCGCCGCACGAAATATGCCTGCCGCGGTCTGTTGGGGGAACAGAGCAGCACACCCAGGGTGGCCGCCCCCGACCCCACGCCTGCCTGCGCCCGTCCCGGCAGCTGCGCCCTGTGCGTGGCCGTCGCCCAAGCGCCCGCCCTCCTGCCCTCCTGCCCTCCTGCCCCGCCCCGCAGCGCTTTGGCGTGCCCCTGGGCTACGGCGGCCCCCACGCCGCCTTCCTGGCATGCCACGAGGAGTACAAGCGCCTGCTGCCGGGCCGCATCATCGGCGTGTCGCGTGACGCGCAGGGCCAGCCCGCGCTGCGGATGGCCATGCAGGTGCGGCCGCCGGTGGGGGTGGGGTGGGAGGCTGGCATGGGGGGCCGTGCCCTTCGCCGGGCAAGCTCGCACACTGGGTGGGCTCCGGCAGCTCGTTGCCAGTCTCGCGGTGCCCTGCTCCACCGCTGCGGTCGGCGCCTGCCCCGCCCAGGCTGCCCGGCGTGGCCTCCCCCGCTCCTGCTCCTCTCCCCGGCACCTTGGGGACCACCCACCCGCCCACCCAC